AAAGTGTGGGAGAGTGGGAAGGTGGATTCGATCGAGTTATGGGGAAGAGGGTGTTTGAGATGTGTGGTTGAGATTAAAAGATGAAATAAAGAGGGGACAAGAAGCTAGGGTTTTCTGATCAAATTAGGGTAGTGGGGGACCAAAATCAGCTTGTGGGACCCACTCCCTTGACCAAGAAAACGGTTATGAATTTGAAATTCAAAAACTTACCTCGGTCGAGTTGTGGAACTCGATCGAGTTGCTCTTGGTCGAGCTGGCTCCTTTGGCTCACCTAAACTTAACTTATTCAAAGGTTAAAACATAAAGATAGATAGAAATTGCATAAATAGAGTATGTACAAGGATAAACATGGGACTTCCTCCCAAGTGAGCTTGTTTAAGGTCCCATAGCTTGACCTTTACCTCTTAGGCATTGGTTGAGCTAGTCCCACCATCAAGGGTGATAGTGAGGACTTGAGACAGAAGCTCCTTTAGCTTGGTTGGGTCCCTGGACTGTTCTGAAGTCACCAAGGCCTTGGCTCTAGAGAATGGCCTTGATCTCCCCTTGTACCTTATCTTGTACTCAATCTTCCCATTTTCAAACTTGGTGGGGAACAAAGTCATTGTGAGCTGAGATGGCTTGAATGAAGGGGCCTGAGCTGGTGGATCCTTTCTTTTATCACCTGGTCTTGCCTTAGAGGCTACATCCTCCCCTTCTTTTAGAGCCCTTCCTAGTGGCTCATCAAACAAAGCTTGAAGGCTTCTTCATCAAGCACACAAGGGGCTTGAACAAGTCTATCAGCTCGTGGTCTCTATCAGAACGTGGTTTCTCAACTCTAGCCCTCTCAAGACGTGGCTTCTCAATCCTTGGTCCTCTCTCATCCTTATCCTTCCCAACTCTTGGTTCTTTGTCAACCCTTTCCTTCACAACCTTTGTAGCTCCATGACTCTTAGAACTGAGAGTGGTACTGTCAATTGTGGCACAAAAGTCTGAACCTCTAGGCTGCAAGCGATATGACACCAAACTATTCACCTTGTGAAGGATCACTTCTTGCTTGTGAAAGTCTATTGAAGCGCCAACTGTACTAAGGAAAGGGGTTCCCAATAACAGAGGTAAATCCTTCTCTTCTTCCATTTCCATCACAGTGAGATCAGTTTGGATGATGCATTCTCCAATTTTCAAGTGATAGTTCTTGAACACTCCAAGAGGAGACTTAGAAGTTGCATCTCCAAACATGATTGAAGTAGTAGGGCGCTGCAAGGCTCCAGCAATGCCTAGCTTCTCTGCCATGGAGAGAGAGATCAGATTGATGCTTGCTCCAGAATCCACTAAGGCATTGTCAATCTCAAGATGCCCAAGTGTGCAAGGGAGAGTGAATTTCCCTTGATCTTGACCTTTGGTAGGAAGGTGGGTGAAGTAAGCAGGTTGAACTGATGAGTAGACTCTTGTAGGACCTCTGAAACTTTATCACTGTTGGCTAGAACATCCTTGACCATTTGCATTTGATCAAATGCCTCACTCATGCTATCCATAGGAGGCAACTCAATTCCAATCCCACTGAGATCTCTTCTGAACTTGTGAATCACTTCCTTGTGACCTTGACTAAGTAGGCGAGACGAGGAAGCGGCAACCGGTTGATAAGGATCAAGCAAAACAGGCTGTCGGACAGAAAGGTCGGACTCGATCGAGAGCTCGACTCGAGAGCTTGGACTCGATCGAGCTGCCGATCGAGCTTGTCGTGCGAGCTCAACTGGTGAAGTGTGAATGGCCACAGTAGGTGCATGCACTTCTGGTTGATCAATCTGGACTCCAGGAGCCTCAGCAGCAACAATCTCTTCATCATTCAGCAGTAAACAAAAATCTTCAATGACCCTTTCTTGATCCTCTTCTTCAACAAGTCCTTCTTGAGTGAAGATGACCTTGCACTGTTCCTTGGGGTTCTGAATAGCTTTACCAGGTAGTTGTCCTTGCTTTGTAGCAGCAGCAACAGAAGAAGCATGATTCTCCAGAGAGTAAACCCTTGTGTTGAGGTTCTCGATCTTAGAGTTTATTTCAGCTAGCTTCTTGCTTGTGTCCACTACCCCATCAGCTTGCCCTTGAAGTAGTTGCTTTAGCATTGCCTTGAGCTCATTCTCTTGTGAAGGTGCAGGCTGGGGCGGTTGGTGGGGGAAGCCTGGTGGGATATTCATTTGTTGTCCAGGGAAAGTGCCTTGTGGTCCTTGGTAATTGTTCTTTTGACCATACCCATGTTGTGGCACCTGACTCGATCGAGCTGCTTGTTGTTGAGGATATACTTGGTCCTGAGGGTTAGCAACATCAGTGTTGCGGTATGACATGGCAGGGTTGGACTTGTAATTATAGTATCCTTTGTTGTAACCTCCTTGCCCATTGCTCATGTAGCACACCTCAGCAAATTGTGTATCCTCCCCTTCTTGGACTGGTTCCATCTCCTCAGCAGACACAAAGTTGACTTTCTTCATTGTGGACTGAGCTAGGATCAGCTTATCCAACTTCTCATTCAATGCCTTAACATCTTTTCTCAACTTTTCGTCTGACTCGATCGAGTGTGGGTCGAGCTCTGATGATAGGATTTTACGTGGATGAAGTGATGAAGGATGATGAAATGAGGTGGAATGCAAACAGGGGTGAATAGAGATGAGATGGTATGGTGCAATCACAATCAATCAATTCCTCTTAACCATCATAGTCATTGAAGTATAAGAGGTTATCAATCCATAAGGGTGAGATGTTGCTCTATGAGAATATGCAAACACAAGAAAGTCAAGCCAAATGATTAAATGGAGGGATGTAACAACTAAACAACCTAATATGAAATGAAATGCAAGCAAAAGCAGTAAATAAAAGCAGCTCGACCAAGAGCTCGATCGAGTTGATGAGCTCGATCGAGTTGAGGGTCGAGTTGGTGTAAAAACAGAGGAAAGCAATGAAAAGCAATAAAGGTGCAAACTTTAAGATGCTAATGCGAAGATTAGGGTTAAAGACAGGGTTTTGCAGCTAAAGGGAGGCTATACTTAATCAGTCTTGCTCTTAAACAACTTGTACTCAAGCTATCTCTTGATATTGAGCTTCTCAATGCCTAGCTAACCCTTTCCCAAGGTGAAAGCTATCAACCAAGACTTGATCTCAGAAACAGGGGGTTAGCCAGTGAGAATCAAGCCTTGGAGGCCATAGGATCATTGCTCAAACTAATCCATCCAACCCCTATGAACTCCATTTCGAGAGCAAGAGTTATTGGAGCTCTTAGTGGACCTTTTCCAACGATTTCCATCACTTCCATGTGGAGAATCGCCTATGGACATACAAGCCAGGGATAGTGGTCATGTAGCCTTAAGGTTTGTCCAAAAGAGAGAGATTTCTAGATTAAGAACATAAAGCAAGAGAGATTAAGCATAAACAACCTCTAACCTATCCCATCTTAAGCCCTAAAGGAACTACTCACTACACATGATGAAATAAACAACCAAATGCAATGAAAGAGACATCAAAAGATAGAGGAGATAAAGATAAACAACTTTTATTGAAATAGCAAAGTGCAAAAACACAATAACAAGGCCTAGATCTAAGGTTCAATGAGCAAGAGCTCAAGAACACAAAGAGAGGCTAAAAAGTAAAAAGGGAAATGCAAATACAAGATTAATTAAAAGTTGAGCCAAAAGCTATGTTTAATTCGTGGCTCAATGCCATTTATAGTAAAGCAAACTAGGTTTAGGGTCAAAGGGGAGTCAAAGGGAAGCAACATTTTTCGGGTTTGACTTTGACTCCTGGAAAGCAGCTCGATCGAGTTGGAAACTGGCCGGTCGAGCTGGTGGGTCGAGTCCAACCAATATCGTCGTATCTTCTGAACCGCTGGTCCGAATGACATGAAACCACCTCCAGACGAAAGCTAACTCAATTATCCACAACTTCCAAGAAGAAGTCAGAGGCTGAATCGTAGTGGAAACCCTTCATTTGATACGATACTTCGGACGCATCTCACTAGCTCGACCGAGTGCGGGTCCGTACATGGGGCAGACAGAGTCTTTCCTTCCTCAACTAGTCTCCAGTGATAGGCAATGTTCCAATTGGCTCCAAATGACCTGATTAAGACATCAAACGTGCACATGTATGCAAATGCAAGCCTAAAACTACTATGTATGCAAAAGAAGGGAAAACATCAAGAAATGATGCTTTGGGTGAATGAAACTATGCAAAAGATGCATAAAAGAAGGGCTAAAACCATGTAAAATGCAAGTACATCAAGCTCCGATTGGTGCGATCATACTCTTCTCCATAGCTTCCATTTGAGTTGGCTATGTTCTCCACAAGTTGCCAGCCATCATCTACATCCTGGTTGAGGAAGTTCCCATTGCTAGCTGTGTCTAGCATCTCCCTATACCTAGGCAAGCATCCTCTATAAAGAGTGGAGAGTAGTGATTCATTGTTGAATCCATGGTGTGGGCACTGACTTGTGTAGCCTTTGAACCTCTCCCAAGCCTCTGCGAATGTCTCATTGTTTCGCTGGATGAAGCTGGATATCTCTCCTCTAAGCTTGGCTGTGCGACCGGTGGAGAAAAACTTAGCAAGAAAGGCCTTCTTGCATTCATCCCAAGTGGTGATTGTGCCATGGGGCAAGCTCTTCTCCCATTGGTGAGCTTTGTCAGCTAGAGACATAGGAAAGAGTCTCAGCTTGATGGCATCTTCAGAGACACCATTGATCTTTGTCAAATCACAAAGCCTATCAAACTCATCAAGGTGGTCAATGGGGTCTTCACTTGGCAATCCATGGAACATCTTGTTCTGGACAAGGTTGATCATTCCCAGCTTGATCTCAAAGTTGTGGTTCTGCACTGGTGGTGGAACAATCCCTTGTCTCTGTTGGTGGCGGTTTGGAGCATCTCCTTGACCAATCGGTCGAGTTTGCCTAGCTCGACCGAGTCCATTTCCCAAAGGGTTTCCATTCCCCTCTGGTAATCCATTGTATCAGCAACAAGCACCTCAGGTTCCTCTTGTACCCTCTGTGACCTCTGAACCCTCTTTCTACCCGTTGTAATGTCTAGCTCGACCAAGTCTTCAGTAGACCGACTCGATCGAGTTCGCATACACCTGCAAAAAGAGACAAAAACCCAGCAGTACAATAGAACAGGGGTGGTATAGCTTGATCGTCCAAGTATGTTTGAAACTCAAATGCAACAAAAATATTCCCAAATCGGCAACGGCGCCAAATTGATGATAGGATTTGTGTGTGGATGTGAAAAGATATGAAATGAGATGTGTGGAATGCAATCAGTGGTATATGATGAGGTGGTAAGATGCAAACACAAACACAGTCAACAATTCCCTTTAACCATCATAGTTGATGTAGTACAAAGGTTATCAATCCAAAATGGGAAACTTGTCACTCTATGAGAATATGAAACAACCAGAAGTCAAGCAAGCAGTATAGATTTGAAGTAACACTAACAACCTAAATAAAGAAATGCAATGCAATAAAAGTAAACAAAGCAGTGTAAGCAGCAGCTCGACCAAGACTCGAGTCGAGTAGGAACAGAGTACCAGCTCGATCGAGTTTAGGGTCGAGTTGAGACAAAAAAGCTAAAGGTGACGACTTTAACAAGATAAGAGAGAATTAGGGTTCAAGACAGGGTTTTGCAATCAAAGGAATCTACACTTAATCAATCTAGCTCTTAAAACTCCTTGTATCAAGGCTTCTCTTGATATTGGGCTTCTCAATGCCTAGCCAACCCTTTCCCAAGGTGAGGCTATCAACCAAGGAATGATCTCAGAAACAGGGGGTTAGCCAGTGAGAATCAAACCTTGGAGGCTATAGGATCATTGCCCAAACTAATCCATCCAACCCCTTAGACCTCTATTTCTAGAGCAAGAGATATTGGAGCTCTTAGTGGATCTTTTCCAGCGAATGCCATCACTTTCGTGTGGGGAATCGCCTAAGGACTTACAAGCCAGGGGTAGTGGTCATGTAGCCTTAAGATCTATCCAAAAGAGAGAGAATCTAGATTAAGACCATAAGCTAGAAGGATTAAGCATATGAAACCTCTAATCTATCCCATCTCAAACCCTAATGGGTAACTACTCACTACACATGAATGTAAACACAAGCAAATGCAATAAAAGAGACATCATAAGAAAGAGGAGATGAAATTAAACAACTTTTATTGAAATAAGCAAGTGCAAATACAAAGAGATTATCCAGGATCTAAGATTCAAGAAGCAAGAGCTTCAAGAACACAAAGATGGGATTAGAGCTCTAAAAAGTAAAAGACAATAAATTAAAGAAAAAACAAAATAATAAAGCTTGGTGGTTTTTTCGTGGCTTAGAGCCTTTAAATACAAGAGGATTAGGTTTAGGGTCAAAGGAAAGTCAAGGGGGAAGCAACATTTTTCGGGTTTGACTGTTGACTTCTCAGCTCGATCGAGTTGAAGCTTGGCCGGTCGAGTTGAGGAACTCGACCGGTTGGTCGAGTAGACGGTCGAGCTGGTCTTCAAGATGGCTTCTCCCTTCTTCCTTTGCGTATCCAGTTGAGCTGCGTCCATGTGCCAAGTCCCTCCATGCTCCTCATGTCCATATGCTCCAGAATGCTCCAAAAGACCTATTTCAAAGGACCAAACATGCATATGTATGCAAATGCAACCTAAAACTAACATGAATGCATAAGAAGAGAAAAGGAACAAGATATGATGCAAATGGAAGCTAAAACTATGCAAAAGATGCATAAAAGATGTGCTAAAACTATGTAAAATGCAAGTACATCACGCACCAGATCCTTAGAAGGTGCCATACAGTCAAGCTAATGATTCTAAAGAAAGCGCTGAATGGGAGGCAACCCATTAAAGGTCATTTCTTTTCATTTTCTTTCTTTTAATTTTCTTTACTTTGGAAATTACCTCTCACCTTAATGTTATTTTCTTTCACCGGGACGGTGCAAGTTAAGTATGGGGGGAGTTTTATTGTGTTACTAATGCATTTTTCTTTCTTTTCTTATGTTTTAGTTACTTTGTTTCATGTTTTCTTGTTTTATTGAGTAAAAAACCAGTCCGGAAGTTATGAACTTAATTTGAGAATTGATAGTGAGAAATAAAAAGATACCCTAGAAAAGTAGGGAGAAATTGACCTTTCAAATTTCTGGATGTGAGAAAGAGAGAGAAAAAGAACTCATTGCACTTCAAAGACAATATTGGAGAAGATCAAGTGGGTAAGAACAAGTCAATTGATCGATGTTTCCCCTTGATAAAGAACTCACGCTTTAAATTTATGCAAGAGGTTAGCAATAGAGAGTTTGGATTGCTGGATGAGACTAGTTGGGTTGGTATTGTTCGCTAAACTTGCAGGGTGTATGTGAAGCTAACCTTATGTTGCCTATGTTCTTAGTGGAATACAGGAAAGGAACCCTTCACAGGATATTCAAAAGAGCAAGGGAGCTTCCACGTTTTCAAACCTCTTTCACGGATTTAGATTCTGTTTGCTTGGGGACAAGCAAAGATCTAAGTCTCGGGGAGTTGATATACCTCTATTTTACATGATTTTTATACTGTTTTAGTATTGTTTTCTAATGGTTTTTGGCATGTTTTCTATCTAAAAAGGTAGTTTTACTGTGTTTATAGTGTCTAGAGTCTAAACAGGTGAAATGATGCATTTTGGAGCAAAACCATAGGATTTGCACTTAAGCAACTTTAAGAGGGCCCAGAAAAAGATCTACTCAATGGATTTCATCAAAACCAGTTCCCTGCGTGCTCTTAGTGAGTTAACTTTCCAACGCAACTGGAACGGCCTCATTTGGAGGAGTAGAGAATAAGTTATAATCAAAAGAGTGAAGACTGTCCAAAGCGGCTCTATCGAGGAACCACGGCCAAGCCGTGCAAAGCGGCTGGCCGAGGAATGGATGTTCCGCGGTCGGCCAAAATCAAATCCGTCCGTCTAAAGCTTCGGCCAAAGTTCAAATCATCCGGCCGAGCACTTGGCACGACACGGGAAGCAATGTCCCGCGGTCGGCCACGCCACGCCCACTCAAGACGATGCCGCGCACGACCATGCCGCGCGATCCAGGAAGCAACGCCTCGCGGCCGCGCGTCCTTGCTGATCGCGGGATCAGGTCTTCCCTTTTCCTATCCCTGATTCTGCAAGTGCACAGATCAAAAGTAGTAAACGGTATCGAACACAAGGAGCAGATAAGTACACTTCGAGTATTGCAAGTCTAATATAGCTAGAAAACAAGTATGATTTAGGGTTTTTGATTGTGTAACAAGGAAATCAAACAGCAGACTAAACGGTTTATGAAAATCAATAGAGGGAAACGCTAGGCAATGAGAAACTCGCAGAGATTCAAGGTTAACAAGATATTAGAAGGTTCGCTAGGGTTTGCGCTATCTAGAACTCAGGTCACGATTGTATGATCTTTCCACTGTCGAGGCTCCGACCCCTTTGTTAATCTACCTAGTCGCTAAACTTTTGGTATGTCCCTAGTGATTAAATCAAGCAATAGTTCGTTCAAGACCCAATTGTTCACAACCCCGCATAGATCAACTTTCGCAGTCTATGAAGTTTTGCTCACCAAATACTTAGTTCAGGTTATATAGCAAGCTTTTGGAGAGTATATGATATACCCATATCTTTCATGTTTTTATCAAGGTTTTCACTATGTTTTTAATACAAATAATGTGGTTTTTAAGCCCAAGAGGTAGTTTTCTTGTATATTCTGGTTTTGAGCATCATTCAGGTCAAAATAGCAAAGAAGAGTCAAAATGGAGCAAAAAGAGTCAAATCACCAAGTTCCCAAGTCTAGAGCACCAAATCTACATTTCTCGCTAAAGACCAAACCGGAGCATCCGAAGTACGACCGCATATTCATGCCTTCCCGACGTCCAAAAGTCATGATTCTTATATGGAAAGATAGATATTTGAGTCATGACCCGCGGCGAAGTGGAAAGAGGTCATTTGGATCACTCGTTGGACCGGAACTTATTTTCTACCAAGACATGTCCGACGAGCGCCTAAGTAGAGCCCATGGAGACTTTGATGGATCAAGAGGCCCGAGATACCGCGCCCAAGGCCTTGGCTCATCTTGACACTAGCATAACTCAATCCAGAAGCTTCCATTGGCCTGAACGCGGCCCATTCAAGAACTTGGAGAGCAAGCTCAAGCGGCTAAAGAGAAATGGAAACTTTCCTCTTCTGCGCGCGCTCAACTTTGCCGACCTAGACCCGCTCTCTACCTATATATACTTGCTTTTAGCCTCTTGTAATAAGAATCACCAGCCGCATAACAAGAAACACTTATTCAATAAAGTTCGGAGCCACTTAGGTGGTCTCCTTCTTCTTTCTTTTCTTCTTTTGCATTTGTATATAGCTTGCATGTTTCAATTTATATAGTCTAGAAGTAGAGATTTCTCCCTAAGGGTGAGGCGTGGTTTAGTCTATATTCCGCCGCCTCTCTCTCTAAGGATTCATGAGACTTCATCTACTATCTAAGACTCATTGTTGAATTATGGATCCTTCCAATGAGGACGTGATATAATGGCCATCGAATCGATTGTTAAAAGGGGAAACCCTATGGTTCTCCATCTTTATTTATGCTTAATGCTTGTTGCTAGAGTAGCTAACTAGTGACTTGATTTTAGGTTGATATACTCTCCAAAAGCTTGTTATATCTCCGGACATAATATTTGATGGGCAAATCGTTTTAGGCTACGAAAGTAGACCTAAAGAGTTTTGTGAACAATCATTACTTGGATGTAATGCATGTCTCACTCTACAATGACCAACGAAAGCTGAGCCCATTGGTTTAAGAGACATAGGGGATTGGAACCACGAAAGTGGAATAATCCTTCCTTAGTGTTTTGAGTTCAAAAGAATCGGATTTTAACAAACTTTTCAATCGACTTGGCTCATGTTTTCAAAAGAGTTTTCAATAGTTCAATAATGTTGCTTGTATAGAATTGCATTGTTATTTCTTTTGCGTGTTCTAAACAAACACAAACCCTTGCATCTTTTGATTTAGCTTAGTCATTTAAACTCTATGATTATGTAATGTGTGAAATCCAATCCCTTGTGGTTCGACCCCTAAATACTACAATTATATGTTGTGCACTTGCAACACTAGTTGTCTTAGGGAATTATTACTTGTACTCATCCCATAGATGCCGCATCAAGTTTTTGGCGCCGTTGCCGGGGATTGCATCATAAACACTTGCATAGTCTTGTTTAAAACTAAGTCTAGATCTTGGTATTTTCGAATACTAACTTTTTCTTTTAAATCTTGTGTTTATAGGTACTTGGAGATGAATCACAACACCAACATCCACTTTGGGAACCGGACACTGATCCCACACGATCTCCACGGCCGGAGTTACCAAGACCCAGCCGTAAGCATCAGTGCCACATCCGTTCCCTCCCAACCGCGCTCATCCGACGTTTGAAGGACCTAGCCGAGACGAGCATCATTACCATCATCATCAAAACCGACCTCCGGTTTATCATCAACCACCTAGACCAGTGTTGCATTCACACCACGACCATGTTCTCAATAGGCGGAGAGATAGCCATTTCGATGCCGTGCTTGAGGGTTTCATGGAGAGCCAAAGAAAACTAGCCGCGACATTGAGACAAAGCTAGAGTTCACGCGATACGAACTAGATGGAAGACTTGGAGAACTCTCTACCCAAATAGAGAGAGTAGAGTCAAGATGCTTGGACATGGAGGAAGATTTGAAGAAGCAAGGCGAGGCCATTGAAGACAGTAGAAGAGCGATACACTTTACCAAAGTTTCTACCAAGGAGATGGACAATCACTTAGATGAGAAGATCACAAGTCTTGATAACAACCTCGATGGCACCACCAAGAGTCTCAATTCAATAACAGCAGTAGCTCATCAAGCTAAGAGGGAGGTAGCCGAAGTAACCCTAAAGGAGAGGCAATGTTACTCGACGATGCTTACATTGGTGGAAGGGCAAAAACAAGTGAAGGCACAAATCCGAGATTTACACATCTCTCTAGACAAGAGGAGCCAAGATATTCAAAGAAGAGCTAGAGGGCTTGAAGACAAAGTAGATGGAGTCTCCAAGGAAGTCAAGGATTTAACCACTCGCTTAGCCAACTTGGAAGAGAAGGTCTTGACCGAGGCAAAGACGACCGTTCCTAAGACAACCATGCCGCGCCCGTCTTTACTATAAGAGAGACCGACCCAAGAGTGATTTGGGATGAAGAAGAAAGTAGAGCTGATCAAGAAAGAGCCACAAGGCTAACCACTGGAACAAGAGAGAAGATAGCACCAAAAGGAAGAACCCTTACTCAAAGGTCTTCACAACCGCCTCCCACCAAGGAGAAGAGGAAGACAAGATCATCACTTGAAGAGATCATAGATGATTTCAACTTTATGGCGAGGAGATTCCCTTATGGTGTGCCGTTTGATAATGCTTGCAACAAGAGTCCATTCATGCAAGACCTAGCTTGGACACAAGATTGGAGTCTAGCTGAATTGGAAAAGATGTACGAGGAAGCAAGAAAGGGAATGCCTAAACCTAGGTTTCTACACAAGCTTCATGACCCAGGTTACTTCCTTATACATTTCTCTATCAATGGAAGCTACTTTGATGATGCTCTTTGCGATTCCGGTTCTAGTGTGAACCTTATGCCGGCCGAGATAGCCAAGAAGTTGGGATTGATCAATTCAATTGTGAAATCTCGAATGGATTTAAAGCTAGCTGATTCATCATTGACCGAACCACTTGGAGAGGTTAAAGACATTCAGCTTGATTTTGGAGGCTGCATAGTTCCAGCCAACTTCTATGTAGTAACCATGAAGGATCCGGAGGACTTAAAGCTTTTGCTTGGAAGATCATTCCTAGCCACAGCTGGAGCGATCATGGATTGGCCTAATAGAAGAATCTCTCTAGCCAATGTTGACAAAGGACACCTTCTACGATGCTGCACCTCCCGGTTTCTCATCCAAGCGATTTCGCTACACAAGTGGAGGAGAGTGCTCACAAGTAAGAGGAGAGTCGCATGGCTACTTGATCAAGGAAGTTCTACAGGACAAGATGCACTTGGAATCATCAGGCAACAGGAAGTTCTTGGAGCCACCAATCCTACCTAACTAAGAACACAAAGGAGTCGAGCTACAAAGACTTAAAACAAGCGCTTGTGGGAGGCAACCCACATTTTCTTATCCCTTCCTCTTTTTATTTTTGTTTTTATTTTTATAACTACTTATTTGTTCTATTTATAACTCTTAAATTTTTGAGAGTTTAATAAATTTTACAAAAATAAAATAAAAAGTGTTTTAGGAAAAAGTACCAAAAAGGAGGCTTACATGAAAAATGCATTGGAAAAGCTACATCGCCACCAATCGGCCCAAGGATCAACCATCTTTGGTCTAAGTGAAGCATTGAGTCTAGTTTGAGTCCCACCCAAGTCCCACCCATGTTTCAAGAAGCAAAGAATCCAAGAAGGGCCGCGGCACAACAAAATCCGGCCATTGGAACACTATTGCACAAGGCAAAGGTAAGTATCACTTCCATTCTTATGTCATTTCTTTTAAACACTATTTCTATCAAATTAAACCATACACTACTTGGATTTCTGATCAAGATCACAAGTACATATGGTTTCACGATCAAGTCTTTGATTGGGAAGTTCAAACTATTTTGAACAACTCAATCATTGACAGAGTTTAACAAAGAGTTACTAGTGTTTTTCAGATATAAAACATGACAGGAAAACCGGTTCAAAATATCAACAAACATGGCGCGCAAGGAGCCACAACCGGCCAAAGGAGGATTACATGCCAAACATGAGAGATGAGGGAAATCCAACCACAATTCAATCCAGGAGGGATAGAAAAACAGTTCGGTCGAAGCAGAACTCAATTGGCCCGAGTAAAAAGGAGATATCACATCACAACACTCTCTCGGCCAGAATCGACGAACCAAGCGACAATGCTCGACCATCTCCCAAACGGCACGACCGAAGTCCACCAAACTTCACAGGCGACCTCAAAACATCATTTTGGTCGGCAAATCCAAAAGATAGGACGAGAAAAAGTGCCTGCTACGTGAGATAGACGAAGGAAGCTCAATACGGCCGACGGCGATGCATAGAATGGCCGACGAACTCAAAACCTCAAGAAGGCGCGAACACCGGTGGAAACTGATCCTCTGGAGTCCAAAAAACACCAAGGAAGAAGAAAGGAAGGAGACGATCGAACAGAATACAAGATGGCCAAAGGAATCACATCCGACAGCCATTGGCGCGCACACGAAAGATCTCCGAATCCACACGTTCAAATCGCCTCAAACTTCACAAGGAGCCACAAAACATAAGGTTGGTCGATGAAATTCATTTCAGTACAATGAATTCCTTACAATTCAAGAGATGGCCGATGGAGTGAAATTTGGCCGATCGCGAGCAAGTAAAATGGCCGACAATCCAAATCACGGCATTTACCGCGGCCACCGGCTCAAATCACCTCAATCAAGCATCCACATCGCATCTAAAGAAGAAAATCCGGATTGGAACGAGCAGAATTGGAGAAGACCGAAGGAAGACGTTCCCGGAGCCAATTTGAAAATTTTTCAAAGGAGATCTCAAACCACTCGTTCAAACGACCCCAAACTTCACCAGTCGCCATATTATACAATATTGGTCGACGAAATTTCAAGATAGGTCGAGGAAATCTTCACGGTTCGAGCTGTAGTCCATACCATCACCATCCGGTCGACCAAAACGGACCAGTCTCGGCCAAAAAGGCGAAAAACAGAAAACCAAGGGAGAATTGTCACATTCATCCAACCAAATCCAACAGCTATGATGTTTGCACCAGTCAGTTCATTCCTGGAAGCAACCAAGCGCACAACCGATCTTCACATCAAAGGCCAAAAATTTGGGTACAATTTTCTACAAACTCTAACTTTTCCATTCTATATTTATCATTACCTCTCTTAATTGGATTTTTCTTACACCGAGACGGTGCAAGTTAAGTCTGGGGGGATTACTAACAAGTTTGTTCTTTTTGAATTTTCATTGAGTCGTTTTATTGAGTCAAAATTTTGTCAAAGGATTATGACCTTATCTTGGATCTAACCATTGTTGTGCTAACGTTTAAGTGACCATTGAAGCAGTATTGGCAATACATCTTACCACAGGGACACTATGAGTTGATCGATCTACCAAAAACGCCCACACCTCCAAGGACTTGAGTTTCCACAATGTGGAGTAGAGAACTTCACTCTTCTCATGTTCTCATAGTCATGTGTAGAACCTATTAATCCATGTTTGGATAAGTATGGGTCCATCTAGTTCATCTTATTCACTACAATTGAGTTTCCACAATGTGGAGTCACAGAGGTACATTTCGGACTCCTTACCTCTTCCGGTTCCCAAATTAGGTCCATTTGTTGTTCCTCCCTTGGATTGAGACCGTTTCACTCATGTTGTCCTCATAGTCATGTGTAGAACCTATTAATCCATGTTTGGGTAAGTATGGGTCCATCTAGTTCATCTTATACACTACAAGTGAGTTTCCACAATGTGGAGTCACAGAGGGACATTCGACTCCTTACCTCTTCCGGTTCCCAAATTAGGTCCATTTGATGTTCCTCCCTTGGATTGAGACCGTTTCACTCATGTTTGTCCTCATAGTCATGTGTAGAACCTATTAAAAAATGTTTGGATAAGTATGGGTCCATCCAGTTCATCTTATACACTACAAGTGAGTTTCCACAATGTGGAGTCACAGAGGTACATTTCGGACTCCTTACCTCCTCCGGTTCCCAAATTAGGTCCATTTGATGTTCCTCCCTTGGATTGAGACCGTTTCACTCATGTTTGTCCTCATAGTCATGTGTAGAACCTACTAATCCATGTTTGGATAAGTATGGGTCCATCTAGTTCATCTTATACACTACAAGTGAGTTTCCACAATGTGGAGTCACAGAGGTATATTTCGGACTCGTAACCTCTTCCGGTTCCCAAATTTGGTCCATTTGATGTTCCTCCCTTGGATTGAGACCGTTTCACTCATGTTTGTCCTCATAGTCATGTGTAGAACCTATTAATCCATGTTTGGATAAGTATGGGTCCATCTAGTTATCTTATAAACTACAAGTGAGTTTCCAGAATGTGGAGTCACAGAGGTACATTTCGGACTCTTACCTCTTCCGGTTCGCAAATTAGGTCCATTTGATGTTCCTCCTTTGGATTGAGACCGTTTCACTCATGTTTGTCCTCATAGTCATTTGTAGAACCTATTAATCCATGTGTGGGTTAGTATGGGTCCATCTAGTTCATCTTATACACTACAAGTGAGTTTCCACAATGTGGAGTCACAGAGGTACATTTCGGACTCTTATCTCTTCCGGTTCCCAAATTAGGTCCATTTGATGTTCCTCCCTTGGATTGAGACCGTTTCACTCATGTTTGTCCTCATAGTCATGTGTAGAACCTATTAATCCATTTTTGGATAAGTATGGGTCCATCCAGTTCATCTTATACACTACAAGTGAGTTTCCACAATGTGGAGTCACGGAGGTATATTTCAGAATCCTTACCTCTTCCGGTTCCCAAATTTGGTCCATTTGATGTTCCTCCCTTGGA